TATAAGATCATTTAATGTCTCTAAAAATTTTACATTATTTCTTAAACCACACAAAAACAACTTATGGAGTGTTGTAGAGAGGCTTTTAAGAAGATTCTTATTTCTGAAATCAATAATAGTAAATACTATTCAGTTTTAGCTGATAAAGCATCTGATTGTGTTAATTTTAAACAGTAGTCTATCATTATAAAATATATAGGCAATAACTATAATACTCGTAAAGATTTCTTAAGGTTTGTTGACTGTCTTTAATTATTTAAATGTGCCCTTAGTCGGAAAATACAGGCATGTTTAAATAATTATCTTTCTGTTGAAAAAGCAAAGATAATCAATGTTTTTTTAACTTGTTGGGTTTGAAAACAGAAAAGTCTAGGTATTTTTCTTTTAGTCTTCTCATAGTTGATGTTTGAATTTTATTTAAATGTAACTTTAGTTTTAACCAAAATTTGATGGATTGAATTTTTTATATTGCTACAATTGGTCTTGAATTAGCTCTTATTTTAAATGTAAAAGAATAAAAAAACTAGAAAATGTGGAAAGCTAATCAATCATGATAATCACTCATCATCTGATTATTTTAAGCTTTCTATCACTTTAACTCTACTGGACCATCTTGTTAATGAACTTATTAATTATATAAAATTTCAAACAGAAAGCAAGTTGGTTTATATGGGATGTTTGCAGTTACAACTGTCATGTTAAGCTACTTGAAAACTAACTAAGATTTGCAAATCTTTCAGGAATTTCTAGATATCTATCATTCCAACTCTGCATTCTACCATTCTTTATGCAGAGTTGGATTATGGAAGCCTTTTTAAAAAGATCAGTCAAAACCCCTATCTAGTATTTTATAAACGAAACTCATGACAATGATTCATTTCCCCAACATTCTTGAATATTTTAAAGGTTTAATTCTAGGTACAATACCAAGAGATTAAAAACTTATTCAAGAAGTAGAATGTTAAAAAAGTCATTAGATGACCTAGCTTTAATGTCAATTTATACCGAAATGGTTCTTGATAAAGATGGTGTTAACAAAAAATTTTCAGCTAATGGAGAGAGATGTTTAAAGTTGCTATTTAAGCTTTAAATAATTGGCTATGATTGAATAATAATTATATTTATATGTGAATAAAATAATTGAATTTCTCTTATATTTACAATCATTTTTTTGTTTTTTTCATTGTTTAATTTACTCTTAGAGCATCTTTTTTTATTTTTTATAAATATTTATAAGTAAATTTTTTTATAAATATTATAAGTAAATTTATTTTCTATTTTGTGTACATTTCATAATCCTTGACATCTAAAATGTAAAATGTTTTAAAAATTATTCTAAACTAAATAATGTAAACCACTAAATAAAAAATTTAAATATGTGTTAATTTCATTTGAGTATGCTACAAAAAGAGTGCTTGATAATCATAAAAAACTAAGATGTTATAAATTAGCTTCCTGAGGGTTCTATAGATAATGAGACTGTTCAATTTTTTTTTTTTTAATATATATTTATATATAGTAATATACAACTTTAATATCTTAGTAATATATAAGAAAATATCTTTTGAATAAATTGCGATATCATATTGTTAATGCAGTGATAGTTGCATTTATTCTATTAGTAACAAAAATATAAAGGAAAGAATCCAGAATTGGAGAGCTAACTTTAGGCAGCATAACAACTTACATATGGAGTGCAAAGTCCTATGGCTTACCTTCTAGTTGGTGCACTTCGTTAAGTAAATTAGACATGTCTAAATTACGAACAGAATAGCCAAGGCAAATTTTATATTTTACCATTAATTATTTTACTAGAATCCATTAAAAATAAATGAAAAAAATATGTGGGCAAAAACTGAATTAAAAACGCTCGGATAAAAAAAAACGGCATCTGGCGGCGTCTACATGACGTAGTTGTCGGACGTCTTTTTGACGTAGACTAACCGACTTATTAAATAGTTAATTTTACAAATTTTAGCTACACCTATATAAAATCCTAGATGCCCCTGATTACTGTCACATATATGACGAAGTTTCTATTAAATATATTGTTATAAAATTTTAAAAGTCTAACAAAACATCTAAAAGAAAATAAAAATCTATTTTTACTTAAATCGAAGAGTTTATTATAATAGATTATTACTATATTAAATCTATAATAACTCTTTGCTTAACTTGCTAACACGCGCGTTTTTTGTTAAAAATCATTGAAACTTCTTTGGTAATAATTACTAACATCAAAAGAGGGTGTATCCATAAAGTATGTATTCAGTAAAACTATTAACTTCATTTAAAACAAGCAGAATTAAAGTAGACTTTGTTAGTTTATCATTTTTCTGTATTTAATTAAAAAAGGGCAGGTTCAAACGGGCGATTCAACAAATAAAATAAGTGGGGGGGGGGATAAACTTTTTTAGGCTGCCAAAAAAAAAAATTTCTTAAAACTTCAAATCTGCCGACTGGCCGACTAAAAGTTGAAAATTATCTTCTGGGAATGACCAGTAGAATTGATAATTACTGTGATTTCTTTTTCGTTTGCATCGTCACATGACCCATTCCAACCACTAGCCAGAATAGCAACATGCTCCTCTTTCTTTCTAACATACAAAAAATGTTTGCTTTTAAATATTTTAGCATTTTTCAACATTTGCATTTTCAAACACTTAAAACAGTAAACAAGTAATAAATTTATCATCCATTTACAAGTAAGTGACGAAACAAGTTTTGAATCCAGTGACTGGATGGATAAAGAGGGCGCATCTGCTGATATTTCTCATTTATTTAGAACTGATGATCGCGAGTTTAGAAAATTATGTAATGAAGCACCGCAAACAATGACAACTTTTGCTTCAACAGCCATTTGATCTCAAACGCTCAGGCCTAATCGGTCAGAGACATCAGTAAATGATTTTGTTAACGTTGTAGGATCGATGTGAATTCTCAATGCTTTCTTCTATTTCTTAATGTTTTAGAGCTATTTTTCTTCTCTTGGCTATGCTTAGAGCTATTTTTTAGAGCTGTGTTTTATTTTTTAGAGCTATGTTTTATTTTTTAGAGCTGTGTTTTAGAGCTATTTTTCTTCTTTTGGCTGTGCTGTGAGCATTGACTCACAGCATTGACTGTGAGCTGGCTGTGCTGTGAGCATTGACTGTGAGCTGGCTGTGCTGTGAGCATTGACTCACAGCACAGTTTTCAAGGCATTTATTACGATCTGGCTTTATCTTTTCTCCCTGCGCATGAGTTGCGTCGCAATCAATGATTGAACCAACCTAATTAGAGGTAACCAATACAATACTCAAGTAAAATAAAAACAATAACCTAAAGTAAACACAGTACAGCAACATAACATGGTTGAATAAATTCATGAAAATAACTGTAGATAATTCCGTTGGCTCAGTAAAAACTCCCAGTCCTTTTTCCAGTCCTCTTTTCAAAAAGTCTTTTTTTTATAATAAAGTTCGGTAGTTTATGAGAACCTAGATACATTTTTGTGGTTACCACAGAAAGAACAAAGTACAAGCAGCAGCAGAAGCTGCTAACGTGACCAACTAATTGAGATACCGTTTAAACAAAATCTGGCGCAAATTGCTTTACTAAAAGTAAAATAAGCAACTTTTTTAAGCCTGGCAATTACAAAAACTAGTCTAATTTCTTTGGAATTCCATTTTAGAATATATTATCTTGTTTCTTATATCAAACTTAATGTAAAAACAAAATGCTTAAAGTAAATTTTAGACACTGATTTTAAAATAAACTAAAAATAATACTATTGATTATGTCGAAATCTTATTATTTAATATTAGAATAATAAAAATTATCAAAAAACAATATTAATATTACACAATTTATATTACTTGTTAAAACAATTAACAGTCTTATAAAATTATATATTGACCACCCTGCTGAAGAAAAAACACGAAAAGAAATTTTTCGTTTTATTAAAGTAATTAAGATTGATTGTCAAAAGACAATCAATCTTAATTACTTTAATAAAACTTTAATTTGTCCCAAATTTAGGCCTTTACGGGAAATAACTATTTTCTGATGTTGTTAAATTACAAAACCACTTGACTGTTTAATTTAAGGGGACCCTTAAAATTAACTTTGTTCAAGTCGAATTTTTTACAAAAGAAGATAGTAAATATCATTGTGTGAAAAGTTGAAGTCGTTACGGAATAAAGTTGTTACCAATTTAAACAAAAATACTCAAAAATGACGGTAAAAAAAGGATTATGTTCGGGGGACCATTAAAACTTTATATTTTTTAAAAATACTTGGTTAATGTTATTTTTTTAAAGTCAAAACCTCAATTTAAAAGTTGCTGCGGTAATTCGAAAATATTGCGGGAATGAGACACCGGAAAAGAGCATCTATTAAGTTGATTCTCCATTTCCAACATCACCGAAAACGTTTATGTGCTTCAAGGGGAAATCAAAATCGCGGCCCTTGGATTACTAATCCGATACTCGAACCACTGCGCCATGATTGCTATCATATATAGTCAAACCGCGTACATACACATCGTCTTAAACACCCTTTGGCAATATTTTATGCTTTTAAGTAAATTCCCCTGCCCCATTACTTGCATACATACTTAATAAAAGCCTCCTTATATTGTTTCAAAAATATTATAAATACAAATTTTAACTATAATTGATAATTATAAAGTCATTCAAACGTATACATAAATTCCCATGTGAAAACTTTGTTAAACCAAATTACACAGTAGTACAATAGATTAAAACAATAAATTTGTAAATATATTCTTAATCCGAGTAATCAAAATAGAAAAATCCTATTTACATTAAATCGTTACTTTTAAAATTAAAGGTAAAAAGTACAAAACGTGAAAACCTAGTGGAAGCACTGGCCAATTTTCTACCAAAAACTAGTCAGGTTTGAAATTTAAAGTCTAAAAAGAAATAATCTATTCTTCTATTATTTAAATATATTATTTCACTATATAAAGATTATTATTTATATAATACTAAAAAAGTTCCCACATAACTGAAACAATTGCCCGATTGCTTCGCTTTTCCTTCAAATATACAAAGGTTGCATTCTAAGATCACAATTATTAAAACTAATTTTACTATTAAGTCATTTTATTTTTTGAATTCATTAGGTTTTGGATTCAAGCTAGTTTTCATTAATTTACTTTTAGAACGCCAAATGGTAGTCCTCGCACTTTTTTCTTTTCTTCTCGCAGTTTGCAATTCCCACAGTAAAATGATGATTCCTCCCAGCTATGTTAGGTGAAAATATGCTAATAAAAAATAAAAATGACTATTTAATTTTTTCCAACATTATATATATATATAAATAAATAAATATATATATATATATATATATATATATATATATATATATATATATATATATATATATATATATATATATATATATATTATAAGAAAAAAGGTCAAACCTGGCATCATTTAGACAAACTATTTTAATTCAAAAAAAAAGGGAAAAGAAGAGATCATTGCCCATGTTTTGAAATATCAGTGATCACGGCTGACATCCATATTTAAATACATTTGTAGCAACAACAAAAAAAAAAGTAATCACATTAATTTAAAGATACTGATAAATTGATTTTAAAGCATATTACTTACGTTTTTTAAGCATATAATAAAAGCTGCAATTGATAAAATCTAACATTATATTAAAACAACAATTAAATAATAAAAAGTGATGCTAAGATAGTAATATGAAAAAGTAAGGTCATAGTTTAACTATATGGAAAATCAATTAATTTTATTAGGCTTTGTTTCTTAACATATCATTTTTTTATTTTTAAAAATTCAAATAACTAATGAACCCAGACCTGTTATGGTACTTTTACACATCAAAGTATTTAATGAAAGCCAAAATATGTTTAACATATAATTTAAATGAAGTAACTTTTCTTTAGAGAGGTCAAATAAATAAGTAACATAAGTGTAACTTACATGCAGGCACATTCTGAGTTAATAACTAAAGTGAAGAACTGTTTTCATATAAATATTTCTTTTTAAATGTGATACTAATATGAGGAGCAGTGCTATTTATATGTTACTTGATTATAAGAATTTGATTATAAACAATTTCACCAAGTCGGATTTAATTGATATAATAAAGCTGATAGCTAATAATAACATAGACATCAAATGTTAAGATTAAAAAAATCCTTCCTTTAACGTTTTGCAAGTAGTTTTCCAAGAATAGATGAAACTGATTTAAGAGAAAAATTTTTTACAAGGTTCTAATGAAGGTGCAATTTTTGTTTGAAACATCAAACAACAATTCACCTTTATTAGAACATCTGTAACTAAGTTTGACTCAACACGAGAAGACGCTTCAAGACTATTTCATAATTACTTTTAAATAAATTAACAGAAAGGAACCACTACAAAGAGTGGAATCTGTGGCTTAGTTTGACTCAACACGAAAAGACGCTTCGAGATTATTTGATAAGTGTAGTCTTTACATGTAACTTACATGCAGACACATTCTGAGTTGATAACTAAAGTGAAGAACTGTTTTCATATATATATATATATATTTCTTTACTTGTTACTTGATTGTAAGATTTTGATTATAGACAAGTCGGATTTAATTGATTAATAAAGCTGATAGCTAATAATAATTTAGACGTCAAATGTTAAGCTTGAAGAAATTCTACCTTTAAAGTCAGACAGAAGATTTGCAAGTAGTTTTACAAGTGAGGATGAAACTGATTCAAGAATAAAAATGTTCACAAGATTCTAATAAAGGTGCAATTTTTTTTTGAAACATTTTTGTTTAACATTTTGCATATTATTTAACCAATTCACGCGTATAATTATGTCAGTAAATTTAAGAAAATGTTTGTTAGGTTTAAAAATGCTCAATTTTAAATTTTCCTACTATTAATTGTGCTTATTGTACTTTAAATAGAATTTATCCCAGGGCAGAAAACTTACTTTTGGACGAATAAAGTAATATTAATCATTTATGAAGTAACAACTGTAATAATATAATAATTCAGGAAGTAGCAACTGTAACAATAAAATTATTTATGAAAAAGCAACTGTAATAAAAAAACTATTTACGAAGTAAAAATTAAGGTTTAAAAAAGCATGAGGCGTGTGTCGTGAAGACAAAGGATTGAAAATGAATTGTAAAAGATGTTGCTCATAAAAAGTTTTAAAAGCAATAGGAACTTATATATGATCAAAGAGCCATCATTATTCTTATTTAACAGGGTGGGTTTACAATATTTGAATAAGAAAAATAGGATGTTAGAGGATTTAAGAGGAGATTTTTGATGAAACACAAAGGATTTGTTTTGCAAAAATCAAAGATCTAAAATAAAATGAGGATTTAGGAGGAGCAATTTTTTTTTATTTTTTTTTTCATTTCAATTTTTATACTAATGATTGTACTTACTTACTACCTCTTGATCATTAACCTTTGTTTACTAATTAATTTTTATCCCTTTTTCTATTTTAGTCAATAATGCCACAAAACATTTAGAAATTTAATATTAAAAAAAAATATATATATATTAGAAAATATATATACTTATATAAACCATAAACTTACTTAACTTTAAATCAATAATAGCTGCAAATAAAACAACACTTAGATAAAATTCCATACTGATTATGTTTTTTTACATATTTTTTTTGATTAAAATAAAGAAGTATTCAAACTTAGTAGGTACTTTTAAGTTGCACAATTATACAATAATTAAAAACAAAGTTGATATTTAAAATTGATACTTATTTTAGAAAAACTAGATAAAACATTTTTAGTAAAAACTAATTTTTATTTTAGTAAAAACAAGTCATTGAGCTGTGGGATAAGCATATAAGCGTAAGAATATTTTTAAACTTATACCTTCAAAATTTGATAACTTTCTTTATTACTAGAAAGAACAAAACTTTTATTATTACAAGAAAGAGTGAAACATACTTATCATACTATACTAATTATTAGGCAATTTTTTGGTTTGTTTAATTATAATATAAAACACTTAACCAAAATTAGGTTCTTATGCCCACTCTGAATAGTAAAGAAAACATAATTATAATCATAACTTAATTATCTAAACTTGATTAGCTATAAATTTTATCATTTTGTCAGAAAATAATGCTTTAAATAAAAAAAAAAACATTAATTTTTGGAAAACAGATTTTAGAAATGCATTTATTAGAACTCTTTATTGTAACTCATATTTCGGAGAGGGTAGAAACTTAAATAAGTTTCTACCCTCTTCGAAAGTCATAAATTTCAAAAATATAAATTTTATTGTATAAAATTTAAATTAATTCTTTAATTTAATTTAAATTTTAAAACTATGCTAAGCCTTGGTGAAAATTTATAGTTTAAATATACTTGTATTATTGTTCCCCCCCCCCCCCCTTATTATAATTTTTTCTTTTTTAACTTCTAACTTGTCTTGGCACTTTTTTTACAGAAAACTTTCTCAACTCAACTTTCTAGAATAATGTTGTTTGTCACTAGGAAAAAAAATTTAAGTTTTAGTTTCAGAATATTTAATTTTAAGAAAGCAGTCGTATTTCCCTATCTTTAAATAAAAATTTCTGATCAATAAATTTAAAGTCTAAGCACTATTAGTGGTTTTATACACTATTACTAATTCAAAAAATATTATTGAGATGACTCATAATCAAAAGTTTATATCCTATATTTACCATTTTATGATTAGAAAAGCTTATTAGAAACATATTTTTGAGCTTTGTTAAAAAAAAAAAATTTAAAGCATTAAGTTTGATTTCTTACAAACTAGTCTTCAACTTTGTCTTGTCTTTGTATGTTGATCTTCCTGTTAACAGCCATTATTTATCAAAGTAGTTATTAGCATAAGACTTCATTTTTAAGTTCTGCATTTACTTGGTTGTGCTGTATAAACGGTTATGTAAATATGTTTAAACAACTTGTTTTTTAAAAGCAATGCCGTTTTGATCAAAAAAAACGTTACATATTAGGACAAAACCTCTGATTGATCTCATGTATTAAACTATTATTTATTCTCATGAATTAAAAATTTCTAAATAACTCCGATTGAAGCTTAATACATACTTACATCGTCGGCTAAGAAAAACAATCAAAAAAAAAAAAAAAAAAAGAAAGCAACAACTAAAAAACAAAAAAAAAGTAATCAAAAATGTATGAATTTTACAAAATATTGTAAAGAACTCTTTAACTTTCAAAGAAAGATTTAAGCGGCATTTTATTCCAACGGTTTTTTTTTTACTCCCTACTATTGATAAAGTTTGGTAGTAACTTGAAATAGGTCACTTTAAAGAAAATTTTTAGTTTTTGGAAATTTCGGTTATTCAAAGTAAATTAGAGGCTCGAATAACCAGGAGTTTACTGTTTTCTTAATTTCTAACATCGAGAATGCAACCATGTTATCAAATATTAGTTGGCCCACAAGTTTAGCAAAAAACAGAAAAGTATTTTTAAATAATAAATATTAATTTTTATTCCGTTTAATGTAAATATTTATTTAACAAAGATGATAGATTAAAGATGACAGATAGATTTTTTTTAATTTGAAAAAAAAACCGTATGTAGATTTTAAAGTGAATGTCATGTAAATAGGTTACAGCCATAGGATGGAGGTAGAGGTTCGAGGGTACCATTAACAATGCCATGCTACCACTTAAATTTAAAAAAAATTTTTTTTACTCAGTTGGTTTTTAGTAATACACTTTGGTAATTGAGGCTTTTATGGTTCGGCTCCCTACTAAAATATGTAAAACCGTATCATTACTTAAGAAGTTGTCCATTAATTACGTCAATAATTTTATTGCATTTTTTGCCTCCACTACTCCCTCTTGTCAACAAATTGTCAAAATTAGGGAGACCCCTGTAAAATTACGTTAATTTTCGAACCCCCCCCCCCACTCTTAATAAAGAAGCTACGGTACAAACGCAACCCAATTTTCCGTTTTTATAGTAATTAACTTTTTCTTTCCCCATGTCAATAATTGTCGTAATTAATGGACAGCCTTTATTAAACAAACTTAGATTGGAAACTAAGTTAGGTAAAAATTAACTTTTAGAAATTGCTTTAGATAAATTTTAAAAACTGTATCCTCTGATAAACTCTGGTATCGTCACCGGTAAATTAAGTTAATGATTCCGATAATTAAGGAACACCAATAATTAAAAAACGCTGATAGTTAGAAAACAAACAACAAACAAAAAATATCACTAAATTTTTAAACATAAATTTTAAGCATACTAGTTAAAAAATAACTTTATAGATAATACATTATGTATAAAAAATATCGAAGATTGCATTAACAATAATCGAGCAAATAATTTTATAAAATTACATCATTACATCATTTACTTCGAAATAAATTACTACATTTTCAAAAGATATAATTTACAAAATTCTGTGAAAAAAAATTAAAACAGAATAAAAACAGTGAAATGAAACGGAAAAACAAACTTGTTAAAAACAATATAAAATTTCCTTAAAATTACGTATTATACAATCTAGTAACCAAATACAAACTGTAAAATAAGGAGAAAACCTCATAAAATAAAATCACTATTTTTAAATATATGTTTGCCATTAATTTAAAAGAAAAAAGCAAACTTGAATTATCATTTTATAATTTCCTATTATAACTTTTTCAAAATATAAGGAACTTAAAAAAACAGACTTTAAAAAACAGAAATTGACAAGAGAAAATTTCAGGTAAGCGTCTGTAACACGTAAACCATAGTATTAATTAGTGTAATAATTATAATAAATATTTATGCAACAAATTATCATATGTTGAAGTCTCTTTATTATAAAACGACCTTATATTTCAAATTGGTTTAGATGAAAGATATTTTTTTAGTTTTTAGGTTCTATGAGAAGACATAACTGTCTTGTCACAAAGCACGCATAATTTAACGAGGAATTTTACGCCACCTTTTTTAAGAATTTCTTTTTTAAGAATTTATCATCTTTATAAAACTCAAATTATCCACTTCGTGATAAATCATGGATGATATATTTTAATTTTTGAAATTACTTTTAAACTTTTTTTACTAACATAAATCAGCCACCTTTTCTCTAACATATTTATAAGCTTAAATTAAACTTAATGGATTATATTTTACAAAATATTCTACTTAAAATATCTACGTTTTGTTTTAATAAGAAACCAAGCAAACGGGTTAGTACTAAAAACTTTCATAATTTAAAGGTAATTTTCCCTAAATCTAGTAATAAAAGTTTCTTAAAAATTTCTTAAATTCAAGTTGGCATTCGCGGAAACGAATAAAACACCATTCGATTGCGCGTGGAAGTTAAATACTAATTTAACTGTTGTTCTCCATTGTAGATAATGCTGACTTTTGTAATTATGATGTCATATTTAGGTGAAAAATTAGGAAATATTCATCAAACTCGTAAATAAATTTCTTATTGAAAAGCGACTAATTACTAAAAGTTTTTTAAGATTTTGAGTCTCCGAGTAGTTTCTTATAAACTGGTTTCTTATTAAAAAAAAACAAGTGTATTTTTATATAATCGTTATTTTGCGTTCTATAAAAGTAAGATTTTGCGTTCAATAAATTTTTTTAAAATTAAAATTAGAAACAGAGTCACCTTTAATCCTGTCTACTTCGCCAAATTGAACTTG